GGGGGGGATTGGCAAGCTGAACATGACTATTGCATTGATTCGTAAGGTAGTACCGTGCTCGTGTGTTGTGGTGGGTATAGATAGTTGGGTCGGAATTCCAGAGGGTCCAATTCGTTCTTGAGGCGCCTGGGAAATCAGTTTGAATGCGCGTAAAGGTGGCAGAAAAGCATACTGGGTGATGAAGCTGGTACTTTTTTTACTTCGCCAACGGTACAGAAGCCTGCGTCGCAGCATGGAATAACTTTTACTCACCTTCTGAATAGCTTTGTCGAATGAAGTCGTAAGTGAGGTTATGTCTTTACGAAGGTCCGCTTTTGCACTTTCTGCTGATCGAATTGCATTGATTGCCCGCTGAGTCAAAGTGGTGGACTGGTGAAGAAGATTCTGAGACTGTGTGATGAGATAAACACAAAAAGCTTTTTTTTATTTCTGACCTCAACAGGTCCAGCATCAGCACTTTCCTGGCGTTCATTTGCTACAGCGGCCATCTAAACCGACTCTTGGACCGCGGTTACTCCACTAACTGAACCATCCAGTTTTATTGCTGCAGAGTTCCGAAAAGGCTAACCTTACCACCCTCGAAAACTGACAAATGATGAATGGTTCACCATGCAAACCAGCACTGACAACAATCAACACTGAAATGTCTTCATAAATAAATTATTTCACTCACAGGCTAGTCTGCTTCATTTCTTCCAGAATGTCAAGCGATACAGCCGAAACAGTACCAGCAGATGTATACAAAGTACGGAAGGATTGCAAGGCTGTGACGCCTTGCGTGGGGCTACACCCAAAAGGAGGCGTGGCAAAGCACTCTTCATGGGTTGGGTCCTAATCCCGACAGAACACTATACTTTCACCTGAATTTTGACAAATGATGATTAAAGCTTGCAGGTACGATGGACGCTAAATATACCCACCCTCGCTGATATCAAGGAGATTAATCAGCAAGTCCGTGTCACAGATATCGTAAAGAAGTGAGTCATTTGTATGTTCAAATGGAAGCTAAAATTTCGGTGGAAATACAGCATGCTTCTCCGAAATACCTCTTTGGACCACTGCTTCTTCCACACATGCTACAGCATATCGCGTGAGGAGCAGCTGTCCGCAATGTTATTTCGCAATTCTTCGAGTAGCCATCGTTCGCCTTTGTATTACAGCAAGATAGCCGTAAAATAATTATTCTAATGTATCTAACGTGTCGTAGGGGAGAAAAAGGATAGATTACACTTTGCGTTTTGCCCAGCAAACCCTCAGAAATATGAAAACAAAAAAGTTTCGCATCGCCATTCGCTTCAAAGTGGACGAAATCGGAATTCAAAGGCAACATTTGGCTCAGCTCGTTCTTTGCGCATCTGATATAAGAGCGCCCTTTAGGATACGGTAGGTGCGCGGGAGGCGGTCAGATTTTACGAATCCGACCTTTGCTTACACTAGATTACTCACTGCGCTTATTTACTGCACAAAGGATAAACTACCGTAAACAAATATTTACAAAATCTGGGTCTACCGTATCTACGAGAAGATCGCCTCGCCGAGTCAAACGGGTTCCTTGAATTCGAGATTCATCCGCTGTGAACAAGACATGGAAATGCGACGCGGATTCCGGTGGATTCCAGTGGAGTTCTGCCGCTTTTGTCGAATTATGAGCTGAAT